TAGCTGCTCACAAGATTCTGGGTTGGATCAACCCCCTCTAAGAGGCAGTCCTCACGCACCTCAGTCTCCCCTTGGCTCTGATCTCAGACACGGTCACCTGTAGCCATCATGTGGCATTTCCCATGTGTTACTTTCAGGCATCATTTGTCCCTGGAGAATATTCTCTTTATGCCAATCTCAATTGCGCCTTATAGTAACCACAAGTCACATATGATTATTTAAACTTTTTACTTAAATCATTTGAAATTAAAATCTAAGAGTCAGTTCTCAGTCACATTCTCTACATTTAAAGTACTCAGTGGTCACAGGTGGCTGGCAGCTACTGGTCAGTGCAGATATAGAACATTCCCGTCATCACAGAAGGTTCTACTGCACAGCGTGGGCCAAGACTGTCCATTTCTTGAGAACTGTGGTCATATGCTTGTCCATATCCCACTGCCTTGTCTGAGCACTCCTCACAATCCTAATGATATATTTGCCAACACAGAGGAAGAAGGGCAAGACTGAGTTGAAAATGACCTTAAGATTTTATCCTTGAGGGGCGGAAAGCATAAATAGGAAATTATTAGGAGCAAGAGAAAGAAATTTCTATTAAAACTGTGATTATCATTTGGAAGATGCAATTATTTCCAGTTAAAAAAGCAGAGAAGGAGAGGAAACATTATTTATCTCCATTCTCTTTCTAACCTCTCCCTATTTTTAGGGCTGATGCGTTTTCTTCTCCTTTGGAGGCGAGTAATGACCTTCCAGCACTCTCTGCGCTCCCCACCTTGCCTGTGGAGGCACAGACACAGGTGCACGCTGGCTTTCCAAGGGCCCTAAATGCTCACGAAGGTTCTCGCCAGTTCTTCTCATGGGGTCGGGGTGGGAAACACAGTGATTTCTCCATCTCAGCTTAGTGAATTTTTCCCTTTCTTAAATTTAATTTGGGGACTTAAGAATTAGAATAAAAGGAATAAGGACTGAAGCTGTGTTTCCAGGTCGTGATCTTTTCACTTGAGCTTTTGTTAAGTTTTAATAAGTACATAATCGAGTAAGTTGAGTTAAGCATTTTTAGCCACAATATATAAACAACCCTCTGCCACAAAAGAAAAGATGAACGCAGTTTAACTGAAATTGTAAAATCAATGTGAATGAATGAAGAGTGTCACTTTCTGGTGAGGGTTTCCGGAGTTCAGTGCTGATCTGGGCAAGACTGCTGCAATCTGAAGGAAAGACATGACTCTAAATTCGGGAAAGCCAGGTCTGTTGACTCGTGCTGTGCTAAGCTTCTCTTCAGTGCGTTTGCTGAGGAGGTAAAACGTGACCCAAGTTCCTTGTCTTTAAAGGGACCAAACATGCCTCAGACTTCCAGTGGTTGTCTCAGGGTTTGTAATGTTTCTCTCTCACTGACACTCCAGGCCTTTCCCCAGTTCACTTGGATGTGATAAGTTTCTTCAGGAGGTTGTGCAATTATTTCTCATTTTGTTTGTTTCTTTGTTTCTGGAGCCCTTCTGGAAAGACATCATGGTCCCGGTGTGGTTTTCAAGGTCTACTTCTGGGCCAGCTGGGAAGAACATTAGTCCAGGTTGCATCCCGTTCATTTTCAAGAAAATATTCCATCTGGGACCCTAAAAACTTTGATATAATTCAACTCGATCTTAAGTTCGGTTACCTTGTTTTCACTCACATATCTCAAATAGCGTGTTTGAGCATCGAAGTTGCTGAGTGTGAACAAATACATCAGTGACTCCTTCAAGAGCGGTGGCTATACAGACGGTACAAACACTTCCCTGTGGCTTCCCCCAACCCCTGAATAGGGAGCAGAGCAGAGAGGTGTCTCCTGCCCTGTTGGGAGTCTCCAGAAGCATGCCGGGTAACATGAGCACAGTTGATGAGATTTCAATTCTGCCTTTATGTTCCCTGTACTGTACTTCTCTTTCTAAGTGCATTTCCCACGGAGGACCCCAGCAGGAGGTGTTTCCCCGAGGGAGAGACAGACATGATAGAAGACATCTGAGGAGGTGGCTGGCGGGCACTGGGCGTGTTCTTTGAACCTGCCTATGTGACCGTTCACCTTTCCTGCTTTTTGCTTTCTAGTAAAGCTTGTGAATGAGGCCAGTCCAGTGCTACAGTGGAGAAATGAACTTTAGGATGTTACCCCTGTGGGTATCGTCCCTTCTTCTTCCCACCCTCCCCTGGGCCTGGGCCACTCGCTGTCCTTACCTTTTCACGCACCAGGATTCAGGAGGAAAAGGTTATGTCTGGTATGTTCCATGACCTATTCCTAGTCCTTAGTTACATGAGAGGGGCCCAAAAAGTCCTTGTGGAGAGATGAAAGACATGGAAGGATGTGAGGGACAGAGGAGGACTCACTGCTGAGTCGTGGAGTCAGCGGAAGTGACCCCACGTGGGAGGAGGAGAAGTGACCGTCCACGTCATATGTGCCCTTCTGTGTTGTAAGCTCAGCACTCATGGGCATCGAGTGGCCCTTAGAAACCTGGTGCATTTTCCATTGCAAGCTCATCCATTCAGCCTTTCTGAAACCCTCCCAGAGCATGCACTTCCCAAAGAAAGGAACCTTGGGTCTTTGTCTCATCTCCGCATCCTCATAGCCAAATATGGCTCCAGAGAAATAAACACGAGGGACTCAGTAAAGACTTATTGGATGAGTGAGTGGGTGAGTGGGTGGATGATCTGTGCTCTGTAAGTCTATGTGATCAACAAAGAAATGCGGGATCCACATTCAAGTGTGGATATATACACAGAGGAAGTTACTTTATTTTAGTTGAGAGCTTGGTCTTCGCCTTGTCCAATCACCCAATAATCACTTACACTTACTGCACGCAGCAGCGAGGCTCTGAGAAGCAGTGCCTCGGTCTACTCGGTGACTGGGATGACCGTCAGGATCTGTGTCTCTTGCTTAAGTGTCTGAGAAGATGTTTAGGGAGAATAAGAGCTTTGTATCTTGCTAAACGAAATTGGGTTCACCAGGGGCACTGTTCTTTTCTTTTCTATAGCCATGCTTAGCCCCTTCATCCTGGCACTTCTTTCTATATTTTTAAACTATGTCTGGCTGAACTACAAAATAAAATCAGATAAAGGTCCCTCACATTTGATGAATGGTTTATTTCGTTGATCGTCTTGGCTGCTAGGCTGAAATTCATCAGCTGAAATCTGACAACTCTTCTGAACACAGCCTCAGTAATTTGCACCTACTCAGAGTAGCTAATGGCCAGGTTATTGTTGTTGTGTTTTTGTTTTTCTAATAGAAACAGTGGTCAGAATAGACCCTTAAAAAGCAATCTTCGCGTTTGCATCGTAAAAGTGTCATTAGTCTTTTTAAGGAGTTTTGGCCGAAGGCTTTTCTATCCTTGTTTGAATTTGCCTTTTCCTTATCATCCATCACCTTCCACCTAACCTGAGGAAAACCATATCCTGCCCATGACAATGTACATACGATAAAAGGTGTTAGGACTGTGACTGCAATTATTTTCTATTTTCAGCTGATTGAGTTATTTCCTGAAAATTCATAATGCCCAGCGTTTTAGCCCAACAGTAAAAACTGAGAGAGTTAATTTCTTTTGCACCGTAAGTGTCAAATAAGGACTTACTTTTAGATTTATGTGCATTTTTTGCCACGAGATATTCAGGAATCCTTGGATATGTCAGAAAAGAAAACCGAAGCGTGTCGGGTGAAACATCTCCTGTTGTCAGTGAGCGTGAAGTGTAGCTGTGCCCCCAAAGGGAGCCGTGTGTTTGGTTACAATGATCCACGGTAAAATATTGTCGTGTAGGTTTTATCTCCAGAAACTACTACAGAAATCTGTGAAAATGATGATATCAAGTCAAACTGCCTGAAAAAAAAGATAATAATGAAGGATTGCATTTCCCCCAGTGAGCGCCTTAAATGAAGAATACAGGTAGTCG